CCCTTGATCTTAGGAGGCTACTGTCCTTTTGAGTGGTGTAGGTAGTGGCCTTGCCCCCTGGTACCAAGGAGATAGTCCTTCTTGGTGAGCTGAGGAGACGGCAGCCCCACCTTGGAACCTATGAAACGTCGTCCCCGCCCTCTGGAAAGAGTAGGTGGCTGCCCTGTCCCCTGGAACCGAGGAGACGGCCTGCCTCTTGAGCCAAGGAGGCGGCAACAGTCCCCTCTGGAAGCAAGGATATTGCTCTGTCCCTTGAAACAAGGAAGCTGCCCAGCGTCTAAAACTGGTGGTGTGCTGCTGCTCTTCCCCCTCAAAACCGAGACTGAGACTGCAAGGAAGGAAAGGAGCCCTAAAGAAACAAGCCCGGGATGGAGAGGGGGCCACCCCTCCTCGCTGAGGACTTTGCCACCTGGCTTTTGCTCTTCTCCCCAAGTTTACGTGGAGGACACATCCAGTGACTGATTCCTTGGCCACATCTCTGCTTGCTGCTTTTTGGCGGAACCCTGGACCGTTTCAGCAGCCAGATTTATCCCTCCTCCAACCACACACCCATTCCTTCCTGTGCTCCTCATTATTTTGGCTGCACTAGTTCTTCGGCCTCCAGCCCACTGACTGCTCTAATTGCTCCTCTCAGCCCCTTTCTACCCTTATTTCCCTCCTTACTGCCCTGGATTGTATACTCTGTCACTTCATTCTTTCCCCCCTCCGTCCTGTTACTCCTTTGCCCTTCTATCCCACATGGCCTGCAAAATCCCAGCTCACACCAGGGCCAAAGAGCTCTGCTGTGGAAAAACCACACAACTAAGTACACACTGCCTCCACCAGCATTGCATGAGCTCCAGCAAGGCCCTCAACACTGCCTAAAAATCAGTGTCTCACCACTCCACCAGTTCCTCCATATTCCCCCAACAGACTGCTTCCTACCACCTTCCTCACCGAGGGAATTGAGGCCCATTGAGAATCTGTCTCTAACTTGCCTTGCCTCCTGATACTTTCCCTTAACAGCTGAGCATCTTGAGAAGCAAGCACCTTAAAGACATTATTATATCTAATCCTCACAGCCAACATTGATGCCATCGTCCCCATTTTCCAGATGAGAAAACTGAAGTTCAGAGAGGTTAAGAAGCTTGCCTAAGGTCACACAGCTAATAAGTGACAAAACAATACCTGGGCGCACCTCTAGTAAATCATCTCAAAAACGTATCAGTGTTTCCTCACAATTCAATGGTGAGCCCCTTTAGGATAGAGACCATGCCTGACGCATCACAGTGAGGAAACTATCACTTGTGTTTGTTATATAAGGAAGTGTAAGAGTGATAACAATAAGGCTCAGAAAGAATGAGGGTAGATTTTTAGCTGTCAAATTTTAAGCAGAGAAACATTTTCTCCGTCATAATTAAGGGGATTAGAATATCAAGAACTTATCTACTTGTGGTTAACAGGGTGGGTTCTGGAGCCACACTACCGGGGTTCAAATCCTGGCTCTGCCACTTTCTAGTTAGGAGACCTGGGGCAAGTTACTTAACCTCTTGGAGCTTTTTTCCTCACTTGTGAAATGAGAATTATAATTCTTACCTTGCAGCATCACATGCAGATTACATGATAATACAAGTGTTTAGCAGGCTGACTGACATCCAGTAAAAGCATTCAATGAATGTTAGCAATTTCATCTCTAGTACCAAAGACTGTGCTTCGGTGTGTATCACTTACTCTGTAAACCATGAGATACTATTTCCACTACCAAAGCTATATGGGCTGTTGCTTGAGAATCAGACAGACTTGGGATCGAATGTCAGCTCTGCCACTTTCAAGTTGTATAGCCTTGAACAAGTACCTATCTCCACAAATCTCACTGTCCTCATAGGTAAAAACGAACACCCAGCCTTCACAGCGTGGTTGTGAAGATTTAAAATGATGTCTATAAAGCAACTGGCGTATAGTACATGTAAATGTAACTACAATTATCACACCAGAGTGAGGGGAATTATAATTAGACAAGTTGTCATTGGATTAGTGGGAAGGGAGCCCAAAGGCAAGGAGGCCTGTCTGAAGCCTGCTTCACCAAAGCAGGCCGGCAGAGGGCGAGGGCCACTGAAAGTGACACAGGGAATAGACTTTAATAAGGTAAAATGGGATGGACATTTGTCTGCAGGCTTTTGCTTCTTTGGCACTAGCTGCTCTGTTTTATGCTTCCAGATCCTCTGGCTCTTGCCATGATGTGTTAATGGTGGAGAACTGTGGAATCTTGGAACTGAAAGGGCCCTTAGAAGTGTCGTACAACATCCCTCGTTTGAAAGGTAAGGAATAGGGCTCAGAGAGGGGAAATAATGTGCTTAAGTCACTGGGCAAGTTAGTGGCAGTTACAGCTAGGCTGCAGGTCTTCAGATTCCTGGCTAGTATTCTTTACAGTATTCCATACTGTATTTTTGTGGCTTTTAGGGATGAGGGTTTTTAAAAGGCTTCATCCCACATGCAGTGTCCAAGATAAGAGGTGCAGGAAATGTGCTGATCTGCTGACTCCATTCTGAGCCCCCGAGTGGTGGAGGCTAGGGACCTGTCCCTCAAGGGACAGGACACCAAAAGGCTATCCAGACAGTAAGAGAAACCTGAGGGGACAAATGTGTCCCCATAATAGGCTAAAGGACACCAGTCCAGGGAAGAGGGGAAGGCTAGGTGAGAATCCATCACCCTAGAGCTGTAAACAGGGTGTTTTGACTAAGTTTCAGGTTCTATTACCAGGGAATATTCTGGTTTAACTATTACAACAGGTGAATTAATAAGACTTGGTGTCAGGCTTGGCAGGGGAGAGTTTCTAGCTGGGATGACGAACAGGAAGGTGGTAGATACCTTGAACAGGAATGGGATGTGTCTAGTTTGTGCTGGTTCAAATGTACAGAAAATAGAAGGCCAAAGGGGGAGTGGCTGCCACCATTCTCATAAGCACCAGATCCCAAAGACTGGGGATAAACAAAGACCTCGCCTTAATAAAAACAAAACCTAGTGGAGTAAAGCATGTTTCAAGATTGGAAATTAAACATTTATAGGCATAGCAGAACATTTGTTATCCAACTCACCTAACAGTGATGTCATGAAGAGATGTGTATATAAAGGAGCACAGTAACCGCCTAGAACCCACACTCAGGCTTTAAAAACCAAACGCGTTTTCCTCAGCTGTGGCAAGTACCAGATGTGAGGCTTACAGGGGCTGGGGGAGGGGAGTGGGAAGGGACTGCTTAAAGGGCACGGGGTTTCCTTTTAAGGTTGAGGAAAAAACTCGGAAACTAGATGGTGGTGACAGTTGCATGACACTGTGTTACGTACTAAATGCCACTGGATTGTTTATTTTAAAATGGTTAAGGTGGTGAATTTTATGTGATGTGAATTTTACCACAATAATAAAAAAGTTACATTAATAATAGGCCTCAACTACAAGTGAGAGCCATCGATGGGAAGAGTAACAAGCACTGAAATTGTTTTAGGAAGAAAACAAGCATTTGGAAGTTTGCACCTCATGTCCCAGAATTGGACCTCTGCCAAATTACCAACTAGAAGAAGAAGGAAATCAGAGGGTTTGATGATTATTTCTTGAACTTGCTGGTTGCATGTGTTCATGGCTTGAAACTACCACTTGGTGCCACCTTTACACCACCACCAGGACATTTTTTGCTCTATAAACAAAACGTGTTTTATCTGCAAAGTTTCTTTCACATAGCACACATTTACATGGAGCTGTAACAGAGTGTTTCCACGTGTGACATGTGCGCAGGAGAACAGCAGAAACTCAGTTGTCAGGAAGATTGTCTCTGCCTTCCATAGGAAAGGGCTGGGATATAAAAATCGTTTCTAACCCTAAGGCACTGCTTGAATCTACAACAGCGATGCAGTAGTCTGAACAGCAAAGAAAGATCTAGGAAATGCATAAGAACAATTACCTTTTTCTAAACCAAGGCTGGTAGCCAGAAAGGAACACTGGTCTGCTTCCAGCTATTTGTACCGCTGAAGACCCATTAACATTAGAACAATTAATTTGCATTAAGTTTCAGCCAATTGTTTAAGCAAGATTTGATGAAGTGATTTCAGGAAATATATACTCATTGTGGGTGTGTACTCGTGTGTGTGTGTGTGTGTGTGTGTGTGTGTGTATTTGTGCATCTGTCACAGGGACTGAAGCTGAACGCTGCTGTGGTCACTCATTTGCAGCCATGGGCTAGAGAAAGACAAGCAGATTTTGGTTACATATTTTAAGCCTGAGCATGTCACACGTTGAAACAGGCCTGGGGAGCATAAGCAGAAAAATGATTACAAACAGAGGAGTCAAACATACTCCACGAGACAAGAGCTGATAGTGCTTTATGTACACAATAAAAATAATACAGCTTTTCGTATATAAACGTTCTTCAAAGGAACATATGTTCTTCAAAAGGAAACACTGACAAGAGCGTGAAAACTGCTAACTGTTTCAAGGTTATGCTCACTGGGACTCCTGGCACCCAGGTGTTAGTGCCTGACTCACTGACACAGAGGACAATGTCGGAGTCAAAATGAAAGAAGTATGTGTATATATATACAAAATGGTAAAATACAATTGACTATATTTTGCAACCTGCAGTACGTTTTTATTAGCAACACTCTGACAAAGCTCTCGTGAGCAATCTGGAGTCCCTCGCAGACTCTGTTATGTTCTCTACGAGTCCAAATGTGAATTTTTAATTGAATAAATTGTTATTTTAAGATTTTAAATATGTTCTGAACGCAAATTATTCCTTCAATAGAGATTCTTTCAGAAACTTGAGAATTATCGTTTGTAAAAATATCCTGGATATGAGAACACACACTGGTAGGAAAACACAAGAATGAGAGACAGTGGAGGTATTTAAAGGAAAACAGAGCTGATATTTTATTCAGAACCTTTCTGCCTGTGAGGCAAGAGAACTACACGATAGAAGTAAGACCATCTGAGATAAGTCAAGGTGACTCTGTGCTGTTTTCCCTTTTTTTTTACAGATGTTTTCTTCACCAGATTCATGTCAGATGCAGTGCTATGAGGTAAAAGAAGACAGATAACGCCTGGGAGTTGAGATGGCCAACTGGAAACAAGATGACATAATCTCCCGGGCAACACAGATATTCCTTCACAATTATGACCCAAGGAAGAAAGAAAAGAGGAAAGTTAGTAACGAAAATGCTGATGGTGCCACCTGCTGCCTCAGCCGCCCTTCAGGGTGGCCTGGACACTGGCGGGCCCCCTCCAGGAGCTGCTGACACGGTGGCACTGTTCTAAGTGTCACACACATGCCCAGCCCCCAAACTGGCCCAAGCTGCCTCTCTTGGTTTCCAGGAGAGCTTCTCAAGGAAAGAGAAACAAAGGCCTTTTGGTTTTGGAAACATGGGTTGAGAGACTAGTTCCGAAGACATCACTAATCCCCCCACCCCAAATGATGATCTGTGTGCTTGTCAAGCAGCCAGTGGATCAGGACCTTGGTAGAACCTGAGGCATCTGGGCGAAAGAGCCTATTCTTTTAATAGGTGGCAGGAAGTGTGGGGCATAAAATTAGAATCAAGTCATCTACGTGCTCGAAACTGACTTAGTGGAAAACGCTTCTACGTTATTACTTCAGAGCCCACACTGTTCTCTCCCTGCCCTACAAAGTTACATGCTGCAGACTGCCCTGTGACAGAGGGAAGCTGAGGAGAATTTAAGGCCAGTTACACCTTTCAAGCACCATGAAGATGGAATGAGGCCTTACCAGGGTGCGATGAGACAGGTTATTCCTTTTCGTCTTCAAAACACATCTCAGGATTTTGGTGAAATTTCACGGTATCTTTTACATTTCCCTTTTGGTTATCAAGAGGGGCAGCATCTGAACTCAAGAGGGGTGGCTCCACCTGGCCGACTAGATCGATGATTTTGTCGCCGCACATCAAGCCGTGTGGTCTGCCAGTGAGGCTCTTGGAAACGCTCACTGAGTGCTCCACCCCACGTGAGTTTGTGGTTTTAGTAGGGTGGCCAGCCATTTTCTTCACAGATAGCCTGGAAAAAGGTGTTCTGGTTAGAATCGTCGATTATTCCTAAACGGAGCCTCTGTCCTGAAAGCAGCTTTATCCTATAATTAATTTCTAAGAAACACCCTGGAAGTAAATAAACTTTCAGAATCATAGACTGGGAAGGTTGGAAGGGACCCTGGAGATTACAGAATACAAGTTAGGTCCTACGAAGCCCTAGGGTTCCATGGAGATGCCAAGAGGCTAGGCAGCAACTAAGCATGCAGGGCTCCAGGACTCTGTCCCCACTTCAAGTTGCTCAAGGACACGGCCAGTAAGGTGTAGTTAACCTTTGATCCTCAGTTCCCCCATATGTAAAACAAGGATATTAAATATCCAACTCCAAGAGTTACAATGAGAATTAAAATAAGTAATGTGAAATGCCTGACATAAAGCCGTCACTTAATAAATGTTGCCCCCTTCTCTTTTTTTTTTTTTTTAATCAGACAGCAGTAAGGAGTGTATGGACTGAATTGTCTCCCCCCAAACTATGTATTGAAATCCTAATCCCTGTACCTACCGATGTAATCTCATTTGGAAATAGGGTCTTCTTTGTTATGTTAATTAGCTCATGCCCAAGTAGGGTGGGTTCCAAATCTAATCACTTTTGCGTTACAAAAAGAACAGATTAGACCAGAGGGAAGCCAGATGCTATCGGATGATGGAGGCAAATGAATCTAGAAGCCCAGGAACTCCAAGGACTGTTGGCTACTAGAAGTTGAAATAGACAAAGAAGGACCTCCCCCTAGAGCCATATCCTGAATTCAGACTTGTACGTACCCTCCTGAACTATGAGAAGATAAATGTCTGTTCTTTGATGCTGCTCACTTGTGCTATTTGTGTTACAGCAGCACTAGGTAAGGCCCTTGTCTCTCTGTACCTCGGTTTCCCTGTGTGTAAAAATGGAGATGATAATCCTTCCCTAGCCAGGTTGTTGTGGGCATTAGAGTTTGTTTCTGTAAGTCAAGTGCTTGACAGTGCTTGGTACAAACTAAGAGCTCAATAAATAAGATATTTTCTAATTCTAAGAAGGTCAAACCCAGTTCCACGAAGTTTATTATAATAAGCCCACAGAGCGACTCACCTCGACCCTTTCGCCTGAGTCAATGGGTCTTTCGCATTTTTCTTAGAAATTTTCACATCACTGTTAAGTGATTTGGTTTCTTTGTTTATATGTTCCCCACCTGAGGCCAAGTAAGTTAATGTAAGAGGCATTTTCTTGACGGGTTTCATTTTCTTTTTGAGTTTATGAGATGTACCAATGTCGCTGAAAACCACTAGGAAAGAAAAGAAGAGGAACAAGATTAAAACTGGAGTTTAAACAACAAATGTACAAGCAATGGCTGTGCTCCTGACTGCTCTTAGGAGCCAAATCCAAAGCAATGAGTCTGTGTGTGTGTGAGGGGGAGATCTCCTGAAGGCTGAAAGAGACAGGGTAAGTCAGATTCACCAGCCCCGAGTGGCTTCATTTTCTGCAGCCGTGGCCTTGGCCAGGAAAGCACAGGGCCACCGCACGGCATAGCCGCTCGCCCTGCCCTCAAAGCACCAAGGGACTACCTTTAAGGAACTTGTCTTCTTCCCTTTGGGCCAGGGCAGGAGTGCACCATTATTCTCAGCCCTCTACCTGATTAGCCACCTGTCAAATTTGCCTCTTAGTTTAGTCTCACCTCAGAAGCACCTCCTCCGTTAAGCTTTCCTTTCTTCATCGTCCTGAGGCAGACTCAGGTGCTCCTACTGCTATGTTCTCATTGTATTTAGGCCAAATGTCTTTGAATGCAATTATCTGTGGTAGTTAATTGCTTGCTTATGTCTGTCTCCCCACTGGCTATGGTTCCTGGAAGCGGAGGGCCTTGTCTTTTCATTTTTGTATCCCCAGCCCCCAGTGCTGAGTGCCTGACTTCTGAGTCCCAGACCTGCTTGCAGGAGAGAGATGGATGGATAGTGTTCTCACATGCCAATTCCTGCTACTATAAAGTGGCTTTTTCTCAGAAGCAAATCAACAATAAATTTTAGAGGCCCTCAGACACAACTTCAGTTTTTCTTAATGATGTGGAAGTGAAATTACACCTGTGGTCAAGCACAGATGCCTTACACGGCTCACAGGCTCTGAGCTATGATGTGCTAGCTATCCTCAGTTAGGACCTATTAGCTAATCGCATCTATTAGCACAACATGTAAAATAGTAACAGCAGCAGCTAACGTTTATTGAGAGTTTACTATATGGCAGACACTATTCTAAGCATGACATGGATTATCTCATTGAAATTTCATGCCCAGCCTATGAGGAGGAAAACATTAGTTTCCTCTTTCACAGATGGGAAAAATTGAGGACAGAGAGGTTGAGTAACTTGCCCAAAGCCACACAGCTCAGATGTGGAGGAGCCTGGATATGAACCTAGGCAGCCGCGCTCCTAAATGGTGACTAACAGAACTCAAAAGGCAAGCAAACCTGAAGAGTCTACTTCACCTGGTGATTCATCCATCTCCTCTTCATCATCTGCCTCACCCTCCTCCACCACGATGTTACCAGATGTTTCTAAGGCCTGCAATTAAAAAAAGAAAACCATGATTACGCCTAATAGTCAATCATCCTCGCTGAGTTATTTCAAAGAAGAGAGGTTTCAAAAGGTTGGACTGGTTGTTAACTTTCATCATTTCAATTCAAAGGCAAAACCTAAGCTCTTTAAATGGCCCCAAGAATCTACAAGGGACAGGAACAGATGATCTGAGTTGTGTCTTCCAGCTACTTTGGGTTGGCATTCGTTCTCTGCCCACAAGGGATCCTACCTTAGCCAACCCAAAAACCCAAACCCAAACCTGTTGCCGTCGAGCCGATTCTGACTCATACTGACCCGATAGGACACAGTAGAACTGCCCCACAGGGTTTCCAAGGAGCACCTTGGATTTGAACTGCTGATCTTTAGGTTAGAAGCTGAATGCTTAACCACTGCGCCACCAGGGCTCCTGCCTTAGCCAAGGTGGGGCCAAATGTTGAATAGCGAAAAAGTTCCTGGCTGTTGCTTGAAGTAAAATTTCTCAGTCCAATGAGCTGAATGATCTTTGAGATGGTGACTCCCAGTACTTTTCAGAAATGACACTTCTATCCTAGATTCTCATGCTACTTAAAGATATGGATGCCCACAGCTGGGGAATGGTAAACAGGCAAATACCAGTTTTGCAGCTTAGACTATAAAGAGCACAGAATTTGGAGGAAAAAAAGCCTTGAATGCATACAATCCATCCAAAGACAAGATGTTAGCGGAAGCGAATGTATATGAAACAGAACCAAAAAGCACTAACCATCAAGGAAAAACAAAGGATAAATTTGAGTTCATTGAAATTATGAACTTCTGTTCAGCAAAAGACAGCAAGAGGGTGTAAGGCAAATGACAGGGTGGTAGCAGATATTTGCAATACATATCTCCAAAAGATTCATAAGAGTAGGTAAAAACTTCTACAAATCAATCAGAAAAAGGCAGGTGACCAAACAAGAAATGAGTGAACGACTTGAAAAGGCACTTCACCAAAGCAGATATCCCAATGGCCGATAAACATGAATAAGTGCTCAACTTCATTAGAAGACATTGATAAATTCAATGACATTAAAGCTAAGAATGTCTGTTCAGCAGGAGGCAACATTAAAAAAAGAAAAGACAAGACATCTGCAACACATATAAACAACAAAATAGTATCTAGAGCACTTAAAGAACTACAAGTCAGAAAAAGGCAAATTAATCCCAAAGAAAAATGGGCAAAAGACCTAAACAAGCATCTTTCACAAGAGATTACAAGGAAGTGCAGCCTTTTTAATAATCAGGGAAATGCAGATGTGATACTGTATTTCATTACCACAAGACTGGCAAAAATTACGAAGTCGGCAAGAACCTGAAGCAACAGGAATTTTTGTACGCTGCCTGTAGGAGTAAGGAGACTTACTTTGGAAGAATTTATGTTGCTCTTTCTCATTCTTTTCATAATTTCCTCTATTCTCTATTTAAAGGAAAATAAAAATTCAAACATGAAAACACAGATTAAAAACAAAACAGTGGTCCTGAAGAAGTTATTTCCAGTTTGCAAAAGTGGTCAATATTCGTGACTGGTCTAAAACCACAAACTTAACCAACAAAAGGCCCTTAGGCTCCAGGCTCCGTCTTCCAATTCCAGTTTCACTGTAATCTGTAAGGTGCCTTAAATGGCGGTAGTTGTATCTGTTATTACAACACAGAAATCCCAGTGACAGCTTTTCCCTCCTAGCTTCGCAGTATGCGTAAATTCATTCTTTAAGACTAAGCACATAGTACTTACTGCAAGCCTATTTGAGCTTTTAACATAATTTTAGCCTTAACAGACTATTACTAAAGCCGGTATTAATGAAAAGTGCATCCCAATGATGTGACACTATCAAAGATTTCGTTACTGGAAAGAGAAGAAACACAGGGGACAGAGGAGGGATGTGTTCTACGGAGGGAAAAGAACTCCTTCCCCAGTGCCTCTTCTTGTCCTGAAGATGAGGAGAGCTGCAGCTCTGTAGCCTCCTCAGGGTGATTCATGTACCGACAGAGAGGCCCTGCAGCACCTAAGCCTGGACATCCTTGCTCCCTGACGTGAGCGGCAGGTGTGAGGCCCTGCCTTAAGAACAGCCTGCCCTTTGGCCTCTCAGTGAGGCCTGCACCCACAGCTCCTCACTCAGTTGCTGCAATTTCTAGTCCAGTTTAGAAGAAAGTCTAACTGCCACCAGCCTCCACCATAACTCGAGTAATTCGGTTCAAAGGAGCTTTGCTCCCAGAGATTTGGTCAACTGAGGCATCACCGTAATGGCCACCAATGGGCCAGGAAGGAGAGGTATGGCCAATCAAAGAAGGCCTTCCATTCAGAAGAGGTCAGATCCTCGGATAAGAAAGAAGTATAGTGGGGAAACCACCAGGGATTCACATGGAACTAAGGATTTTCAAAAACATGTTCTGATACCACGTGCCCATCACTGTTTCAAACAAAGAACCAAACCCAAACAACATACAGTACCTTCTTTCTCTCCAATCTTTCCTGCAAATTTTGCAACCTAAGTCTTTCACCTTCCTTCTTCTGTTTATCAGCTTCCTCCTGAGTTTTTATTTTGGGATCCCCTTTCTAAGAAATTTATGTAAAAATACCATTTAATCTCACTCTATCTCAGCGACACCAGAGAATACTGGTTTAAAAAAATTCAGCAGTAAAACACTATCCGGCATAACAAAGGAATGGAACCTTCTGATTGAGAGTTCCCATACACATGACATTCATAAATTATTAGATTCCAAAGCATTTGTTAGAATGCACAAAGCCAGGCTAAATATTGTCTTGAAGATTTAGAAGGCATGTTGGTCTCCTCCAGGAGTTCAAGGTGATCATGGTGAACATCAGACCACTATATTTTAAAACTGGAAGTGACTGTGTAGCTAGCCATCAGCATAGCAACAGGAGCCACAATTCTTATATTTATCGAAAGCACTGGGAGGATTCCTTCTCAAACAGACTTCCTCATCGAAGGCAAACGTCTACCATCCTTTCTGTAACATATAGCCAGTTTTCATGAGTGGTACACTAAACCTGGGATGTAAGTTGGGCTATGCTAATAATTCACACAGTTTGGGGGATACGTTTACCTAGTGATTTGAATGTGGATGGGTGAGACATTCTTCCTGGTTAATTTGATGAAACTCTTAGAGGTATTTATGTTATTATATCTTCTTTTCTGTCGGGGGATGCGGTGTGAGGTGTGAGTGTCATGTGTGGCGCCATAGAGCAAAATTGGGAAAACTGACACAGGATGTTAAACCTGTGCAAGCCATTTGGATTTGCTGTCACCAGACTGCTATGTTGTTTATGTAGACAAACTGAAGGGCTGCTGATGTTTAATTTGCTCCTGTCTGCTTGTTTCACTTGGAAAGCATTCTAGGATATTGCCAAGGGTGGCCAAGAGTGGCCTGCAGTGGTATTAGGTGACAGCTAGACTGTGGCGTAAAAAGTAAACCAGTTGCCATTGAGTCTTTTCCTCTGGAGTCCCCAGGTGGTGCAAATGGTTAATGTTGCTCTGCTGTTAACAGAAAGGTTGGAGGTTTGAGTCCACCCAGAGATGCCTCGAAGAAAGGCCTGGTGATCTACTTCCGAAAAATCAGCCATTGAGAGCCCTGTGGAGCACAGTTCTACTCTGACACACACGGGGTCACCAGGAGTCAGAGACAACTCAATGGCAACTAACAACTTAAGAAACTGGCCAAGGTCTGTGTGAGGGGTACTAAGTATTCCGAAGGAGTTCTAAAAGTGACCTGGACAAGCCAATGTACCACCTAATACAGAATTAAAAACAAAGTAAGTAAAAACAAACAAAAACTGGTGCAAACTGTTAACATGTGCTCAGCTGCTAACCAAAAGGTCAGAGGATCGAGTTCACCCAGAGGTGCCTCGGAAGAAAGGCCTGGTGATCTACTTCCAAAAAGTCAGCCATTGAAAGTCCTATGGAGTACAGTTCTACTCTGACACACATGGGGTCACTATGAGTCAGAGCTGACTCAACAACAACTGGTTTCTAATGTAAAAATGCAGACAGGAACTCCGCATCTGCTCATCTTCTTTCTTGGAGGAAGAGATCTGTGCTTTGGGTTTCAACTGAATTTTCTCATCTGGTTCTTCTGCCCTGATAAAGTGCACAGCCAGCAAACCTGTAATTGTACTCCTTGATCCTCTTGATCGTGACATCCCTTCTTTGTTTTAACGTCCTTTTGGTTTTGCCCATCTCCCTGGTCATCTTCCAACGTTAAGAAATCTCCTCCTAGTCCTTTAATTGCTTTCTTTGTCAGCGCTTTCATTTTTCGAATGACACTGGGAATATGGAAGTAACAATTAGGATTTATCTTGGTCTCCTCCATACACAGCTTGCAGTAGTATGCACATTTTTAAGAGTTAAATTGGTCGTGTATGATAAACATTTTACACGGGATTCATATTTTCTGTGTTGTTACCACACAGAATTGATACAATTTCACCCTTTTTAACAGGGGAAAACTAACCCTTGGGAGTAGAAAAAGAATGCTATCAAGTAGTAGAATACTTTGTATCTTACACACACAGGTGAGAGAGAGAGAGAGAAAATCTCATTCCTTCTTAACGGTTTTAGAGACATGGGATCCTCCAAAAGGCCTTATTTATGGGTGCTCACACCCAAGCTCACATGGGTATGGAAGGGCAATTCAGAGAAGGGTCTGGTGGTGCCTGGATGAGGAATATCCAGTGACCAGTATTCAGTGCTTTCAAAATGCTAAACTAGGTTGTCTATGTGAAATGAATAATATTCTTTAATTTACAGTCTTTTGCCATTCACAATACCCCTTCTCCTCCTTTCCCATATGGAAAGAGTATATGGAAAGTATTTGATCGTGTTTTCAAAGAACACTTAATGCTTAAGAACAGAGTCAGTACAGTTCTGCAGTTATTCCTTGTAGGCAGTGCACAGAGGTTTCCATCCCAGGATCAAACATAAGACCAAGGATCCAGAAACCCTGAGACTGAGTTTGAATGCACACACCTGTCCATGAGCCCTGCTGCCCACAGGATAGTATTTGAGTAATGACTCGTCTGGCTGATGAGACTCAGGTGTCACAAAGGTCATTTGACAGCACCCAAAGCAAAACAGGATTAAGTATAATTTCCAGTTTTGCAAATTATAAAGTTAGAAAGGTCTTTTAAAACAAAGGGGCTGAGACCAGTGAATGCAAACGGAAACATTCTTGCGTGATCACTCCATTACTCCTCCTGAGAGACCAGAGCCTGGCCTAGAGCTCAGTTCTCTTTCTGTAGTTGTATCTCACATCTTAATGGCACGTGATTTAGGCAGCCTTAAAAGGGCTATATCATTCATCTGAATACCAGTGGCCTCTTGGCTAAGCCACTAACAAAAGCTTGGGATGTTTTGTGTACTTGTTTAGAAGGCCATAAGTCATTTTTGATTCATACTGAAGAAAAAGTCAATCTCTCTTTGAGAATTTATAACACACTTAACTTGAGGATAAATTTGTGACTTTCAAAATTTGGGCCGTTGTTCAAAAGCAAAGCCAGCCACAATGTATAGTATGGAAAGGATGAGTTAGTTTGTGCTGACCTTTCTTCCATTTGTTTCCTTGCTCTTTCTTCTTCATCTTCTTTTTCTTTCTGTTCTCGAGCAAGACGTCGTTTTTCTGCCAAAATTTTTGTTGCTTCCTCGGCATTCATAGCCCCGGGTGTGCTTTTAACACTGGGCTCTGTTTTAAACAAACATGTGAAACAATTAGTTTGGGGAATTTACTGCCTTCTGAGTTCAACAAAGAGGAGCAACACAACCATAAATATTTTTAAAAAACCAAACGGTATATGCGCATAGTCTAAACTGTAGAAACAATAAGTAACCTACAGACTGTGCTCAAAACCCAACTCTCGCTCCCAACAGCAGTAGCGTTTTGTTTCTTTTGAGCAATTACTTGTTCCAAAATGAAATAATGTGCTTCTACTTTGGTGTTAGCTGTTTTGAGACAACTAAATAAATTGACCCTATGGGAAAAGATTAAAATATATTGAGTATAGAGGAAGACCCGTTTATGCTAGATTAAAAGGAAGCATAAAAATCTTAAATGCTTGACTAAACAAAAATACAACCAGCACAGGTTTTGAGATTTGTGCATCGTTTTTACTAAATAATTACTCTTTAGGTAACCCTTAATAACAGTATATTACTGCATTTGGTTGATCGTTAAGTGGTTAACTATAGAAACTAAAGAAACCAAGGCTATCAGGAAAATAGGTGACCACCTGGAGGCATGTTATCCTAGCAACTTAGTCTACATGCTGAATTCCTTCATTTTAAACAAACCACATAGGAAAAGGAGAATTTTAAGACATCAGGAATGAATACTTTGTTTAAAAGATGATTTCTATCACAAAAGGATTCACTGTGGAATTCCTTCAAAAAGCAAAATGCCCTTGTGTGTTTAAAATTAAGTAATGTCCTTGGGTATTAAGAATGGATGTGACAGGCAAAATACCAACACAGCACTTCGAGGAACCCACATACTGCGCAAACCAAGGTACGCCACATGCTACGGTCTATCTGTGGCAGCTTACCTACATCTCTGGATGGAAAACTGCCCATCCACAAATGGCTAGATGTACTCTCTCCAATGATGGAAAATACTTTAGGGCCATTCAAAGAACCATCCAGAATCAGAGCTGGAAGGGATGGTAGGGATCACCTAGTTCAACCCTATCATCCAACTGGAACTTCTAACATTGGTTCAAAAAAGAATTTTCCAAAACAACAAGAGGGTGGGAGTCAGTAAGAAGCTCTGTCAAGGACAAGCAAGCAGAGAAGATGCATTCCAGTGTCCCAGTGGTTTGTGGAATTCTCTTGATCTAAAAGAAAGATCACGCCCTCAAGTTCTCTGAACTGGGGAATAAAATGAAGTTGGCCATTCCCAAATCATGCTAGTTAACTTAAGATTTTCGGTGTGGTCAAAGTAAACTTCTTAGTGAAAGAACTTACCTTCATTGGCCATATTTTTGTGGCTCCGAGCCTCAGATCTGTTAACAGTTTTAGAAATGGCGTCTTTTTTCTTTTTGGTAGTACTTATTAATGCATTCGGTGCATACGGGGTACGCTGAATAGGTATTACTTTATAAGAAACAGAAGATGTGGTGGACTGTTTTGATACGACAGGTGAAGGCAACGGAGGGTGATTCTTTTGGATTTGCCTGCTGGGAAAAAGTAATAATGGGCAAGTCTGACGTGGTTTTGTAATAAATGAGTGCTAATTTCATAAAATATAATCTCTTGATATTATGAGATAATGATATCATAAGCTGGAAATTTTTATAAGAAACAAAGGTAAATCCAAAGGTTAAAAAAAAGCAAAAGTTTTTTTTTTCTTTACATTTATGATAACGTGCATACCGCATTATTTCATTTATGAAACACTGACGTGGAATGTGTCCTGGTGAAATACTTACCAGGAGCAGTTGCAGATGAGCTACTTACCTGACAGTAGAGGGCAGACGCAGCCCGCTTGCAGACGATGGCCATCTGTAACGTGGTATGTCCGATGATGGGCACTTCTTGGTAACAGGATTTGAGGCCTGTTTGTTAATGTCTGATTTCTGAACAGATCAATACAGTAAGATAAGAAATTACTCGCATTTATTTTACTGCAGCTGGCTTTTCTTTTTTTAAGAGAAAAATATTCTGAATAAAACACCATTATGGTTCCAGTTTTCCCTTACTGCATGAGAATTTCCCTTAATGCATCTTAGTATTGGGTACAGAGATATTTTCTTTCAGACTAATGATTCGTATTACACAATTCAAGCAGGTAATAGAAATAATGAATTTTAAAGAAGTTTTTTTTCCCTTCAAAACCTGATTTCATTTCCAAATCCTAATTAAGGGTTTGGAACCCTTCTCAAAAAATTTTTCTTCAGAGTTTAAAAACATAGTTGATATAAGCTGTTACATTTTCTCCCTTCCACTAAAAACTAGCTAATATTCCAGTTTTTGCAGGGAAACACTGGTACAACGAGTATCAAAGAATTTTAAATGATTAGTTTAAATAAGTTATCCTGTTTGATAAATTTTATTGCCGAATACTATGAATAAGAAGTCAGGTACATTGTGAAATCTGACCTACCATGATCTATACAACTAAGTATACATATTTTAACAGAAAAGTTGTCAATAAATGGTGCTTAGTAACAAACCTGTAGAAAGTCTCTTACTTTTGCCTTGGGAGACCCTTCTCCACTAGCTTCCGAGGACGTTACCACGCAAACCTTGGTGGGCATTTTCATGCCGTCCCCGGAGGCCGTTTCCACACCAGCCCGGGGGGGCGCTTCCACGCAGGCCTTGGGGGGTGCTTTCAAGCCGGCCTTGGGGAGTGTTTCCACGATGGTCTTGCGGGAGGCTTCCACGCCGGCCTCAGGGGATGCTTCTACACTGACCTCAGGGAGTGTTTCCATGTTGGCCATGGGGGAGGCTTCTATAATCTCAGGGGACCCTTCCACGGCGTCCTTGGGGGGCGCTTCCACATCAGCCTTAGGGGGCATTTCTACTTTCTCCTTGGGAGAGATTTCTATTTTTGCCTGGAGAGGCATTGCTACTTTCAATTCGGGAGCCATGACAGTTGTCTTCAATTCATTATTACTCTGGCTACGTAAGGCCATCCTTATATGCTGCAGTAGGTCGACACCTATAGGTAAAATGACGACAGAGGGTGAAATTCCATGAAGTTAGAAAATTGACCAGACAAAAACGCACCAAGTACACAGTATAAAAATGTTGTTGTTGTGTGCCATCGAGTCGATTCCAACTCACGGCGATTCTACAGAACACAGGAGAACTACCCCACAGGGTCTTCCAGGCTGTCATCTTACGGGAACTGATCGTCAGGTATTTCTCCCGTGAAGCGGCTGGTTGGTTCACACTGCCGACCTTTCGGCTAGCAGCTGAGCGCTTAACCATTGTGCCACCAGAGCTCCTACAGTATAAGAACAGGAGCAGAGGAGAGACTGCGTTTATTAGGAAACCACAGAGATTACACACAACCCAGGAATCTTTATAGTAAAATGGATCACAGACAAAGGACAGGACCATCATGAAGTTAATACTTCAGAAGCAACGTCAACAGTTGTGAAAGTAGTAGTCTATTACAGAGGAAAATAAGATGCCTCTCCTAAGTCAATGTTTGCAAGAAGCCATTTCTATTTAAAGCACACTGTATTTCAGAATCATTTTCACAGAAAATTACAAGATCTTGAACACTTCTAAAAAGTAACCTAAATATCTTCATCAGGGTCAGAGAGCACACCATTACAGGTGATTATGTGAAACACTCCCTATTTGGTTGTTTTAGAATACAGTGTAACAGTGAGAATTTTCTCACCAATACTAAAACCTGTAACAGAACATTAGTCACAGTGGGTTGGATCTCCAAAGTTTCTTCCAGCTTTGACAATCTAAATATTTTTTACGTACGAAATGGACAACGATGAAAAAATACGGTAATACTTGGTTGTCAGCTAAGATGAGGGGAAATAATAGCAATGCTGGGAACCATGCCACCTCATACGCTGCTGGTGGGAGTATAGATTTGTGTGTAGTCTCCCTGGGGGGCACTTTGACAATAGGTATCAAAAGCCATTTAAAAAGTACACACCCTCTGTCCTAGCAATACCACTTCTAGATATTTATCCTCAGGAAAATATCAGATAAATACCTAAAAATGTATGTACAAGGTTGCTTATTATAGTATTGTTGATAATATTAAAACAACTGAAAATATAATCCAAATATTCAACAGGAAATTTGGACTACACTAAAACTGTCATAATTAATAAAATGCAATTTTTGGACAGGGAAAATGGTACATATTGAGTTTAAGTAAAAGCAGGTTATGATCCCATTTTGTGAAAAATATAAACACAAAGAAAAATTTTAAGTTATCAATGTGGGTTGGGATCATAGGTGATTACGTTAAAAAATTTTTTTCTACACTAGATATTTATCGATTGTGTCAATAATGAAAGCAAACATTTTAAAAAAGGTATTTGGTGGTGGCTTTCCTAAGACTTGGCAAACTTATTTGACAACATGAGTTCATAAAATAAAATAGAACAAATTACTAAAGACTGGCTACTTATGAATAAAAGTTTTGACAAAAATAAATGCATTTTTAGTTTCTCATTTTTGGTGGAGAAAGTATTTTATTTACATATCAGCCTGTGCCTAAGCAGTCACACTGCTGAACACCAATAGTTTTTGTGCTACAGAAAAACTAACAGAACCCTAAGTAGGATAACTAGATTTTCATTAGCCATAAAAATTTAAGACAAAATAGTGAGTTTTTGATGAGGGTCTGATAAATTAAAACGTACATAATTAGAAATATCCACCATTAGGCTGGGGGGAGCCTGGCAGAAAATAATCTGGCATCTATATAACAGGGCAGAAACAAAGTCAAGAATTAGAACTGAAGGAAGCATGGTCGCACTACAAGAAAGTCTGTGGTAGCGTTTTGGTTCATTTTACTAATCATAAAGAATATTGACAGAAAAAAGCAAAGGAGGTGGGATACCTTCTGGAAAGGAAAAAGTGGACTGAATAAGAAAGAGGAAAAAAAATGAAGGGAACAATGCACTCAAGCTTTCCATTATCAGTGGCTTCTTTCAGTAGTCCCTGGGTGGGGCAAACGTTTAACAAGCGTGGCTGCTAACAGAAATGTTGGAGGTTCGAGTCTTCACAGAGGGCACCTCAGAAGAAAGGCCTGGCAACCTACTTCCAAGAAACTGGCCATTGAAAACCTTACTGAACACAGTTGGCTTTTTGGTCTTGCTACCACGGGTGGAAACACTGGTGGCGCACTGGTCAAGAGTTTGGCTGCCAACCGAAAGGTCAGCAGTTCCAAATCCACCAGGTGCTCCTTGGAAACCCTATGGGGCAGTTCTACTCCGTCCTATCAGGTTGCTATGAGTTGGAATTGACTCGATGGGAACAGGTTGGGTTTTTTTTTTTTGGTACCCACAGGCATGTCTGCCACTGTATATAAATCAGAAAGTCCACATAATCCTGAAGATTTTTTTAATTTTACTTTAACAATCTTTATTTCCCTAATTAAAGGCGAAAAAGGAGCTCATTGGTATTCTTTCATAATTTAGGAATCCCTTGATATTAAGTTTTTCCATCCTTTTTAAATCTAGTATTTTTTACAATGCAGTGATATCACTTAAGTGCAGGTCAAGAAACCCATAGAGCTTTAAAACCACCACCAAAGTTAGCTTTCTCATCCTGTAAATTACCTATAACCAGGTAACTACTCTATCATGCTAGAAGTCATACAAGAAATATGCAACATAAAGTGTTAGGTAAAATCACTAATTTGGTAACTATTGATTTAAACTATTTTTCTGCCTAAATGTAACAAATTAAGTGGTACGACCCACTTTTTAAGTGCAAACACTAACACCTTCAGGCTTTCTCCCAAATGGCTGTTACCTGAAAAATCTTTTCCAGGGATGGATAAAGACGTAGCCGTTTCGCTTCTAGCTAATGACGCTTCTGTTGGGACTAGTAGATGACTGACTAAGGCATTCTCCTGAGAGCTGCCGTACAAGTATCGAACTAAATGAGGAGAACAAACGAAAGAGGATTCAATGTGAGGTCTTACAAATACATACAAAGCAAAGAGAGCAATGCGAACTGCTTTAAGTGATGACCTCCCCAGCCTCAAAGTAGAGGCAATGAGAGCAACACTTAACACAACCGGACTAGACACTGCCATCTGCCTGGACTGCACTATCCTTTACGTAAGCGTTTTTTTTTCCTGCGTTAAGGCGGAAAAGGCCACAGCATACTATAATAACCCCAGTGAAGGAATCTCGGTAATATATTGAACAGAACCATACCCCACTGTATGGAGTCTCTATGGAGGAACCCACATATAAAGAAAAAAGCTGTATACAACATAACAACTTTAATAATTATTTTGAATCTCTGCAGTTCAGTATAATTTTACACAAATTACGACAGATACATGTCACTGACAATCATATGGGTCAAATCCATTGCCTAAAGCTCTAAGAGACTGACTGAGTTCTTTCGTTAAGTGTGGATTTTGTCGTAAAAATTTTGCTCCATTAAATCTTGATGTTCATAAAGATCCTATGACAATGGCATTTTGACCTGAATCAATAGGATTTGATCGGAGTTAACTCAGTAGAGAGTTTTCTGTCAGTGGATGGTTGGGTAAAATACAAAAGCAACAAGCCTGTCAGAAAGGGAAATATTAAAAGAAAAACTACTCTAAATAAAGAAGTCCTTTGGCAACAATTATGAACTTTTGGGTGCAACTATCAGCAGTGAAAACAGGCACAGAGGATATGTGAGGAATGCTGTGAAGCCACAGGGCAAAGCTCTGACGTTCCAAATGCAGCCAGTAATTCTGAACCTCTAAGCGCAAATTGAGGAAAACTAAGCAAGAAACGTTTGAAGTGAATCAAGTCGTCCGGTACAAATCTCTCTAACTACAGTGACTTTCTCTGATTTATTTCATTTAGAGAGAGACAGACTTTTCTGGCCTCGGCCAAATAAGCATGGCATCAAAGTACATTTTGTAGTGAAAAAAGAGTAGTTTGGCTGCCAATTTTAGGAATGACTTTGCAAGCAACTCAATCTTGACCTACATTGACCTCCTTTAAACCACTCCTTAAGATTTGTTCTTAGAAGTAACTAACCACATAGTTTTTCTTCCTTTGGTGGTGGTTCTGGTTCAGGACATGAATGCAGTTTGACATCTTTCGTAGTAAAAGATAAGGTCCTCTTCTTTTCTGTTTTTTCTAGAGATCAAGCACAAAGGAACATTATTTTTCACAAAATAATTAAATATACTACTTCAGAAGTGAACCACTCCTTTTTTCAAACATTTCTTATCTTCTTACCCTTGCTTGTAAGAATTTATTTAATTCAGATATTATGCAGAGATTCTACGTCCCCAAACTTCAAACTAGCTTATTCTTTAAGTAAGTTATCTGAGATGATATAAAATTATTCAGAAAATGGTAAAAAATTAAGAGGGAAAATGTCAGATACTAAATAACAACATCAAAGTTCCAAATTAGGAATCTATAACCTTTAATTTTGGACCCAATACAAGATGTCTACTACTAAAGTAACACTTTAGTTATAACCAGTATTTTTTCAAAAAAACACAAGCACAAACATTTGTTATAGATGTCACAATTTAAGCAACCCAAACCATTCATAAGGGTAAAAAAGTTTGTTTTGTGTAGACACCTTTCCATTTCATTTGAAATATTTTGGCTTAGAATACTGACGAATGTCTGTGTAAAGAATAATTTCTCTTTTGGGGACCTGTAAATTAAAGTACATATTGTCAATATAGCATCATTTAAAAATTCCTTGAATTAATAATGTGATCTAGCTGCATGAATCACAGAAGAGTGATCAATTCAATCATGTGATTAAATAACATATTCTTCATTAGCATACTGTAAGAAATGACAAAATAGTATAATCAGTTATCATGAGTCAGCTACAAGTGGATGAAACATAGACAACTTGAATCAACCAAGATTTAAAACAGATTTCCTTAAAATATTACGTCTCAGATTTTTCACTTCATTTGAGATTAAACTGTTGATCTCTCTGGATTGAACAGGCTTCATTTTAATTTCTCTGCAATCATTAATTACAGCACTCATTATTTCGGAGTGTGCAACATACTATAGCTTTAAGCAAGTTATTTCACAAAGTATCTTCTGCATATACCTTCTTGTATTATAAACTAGTAAAGAAATCATTGAAAAGTCATCCTCTGCCTCTTCTCTTTCCATGTCTCATTAATAAGGCAAGTAGACATAATAATGAAAGCATACAGGTGTTTGCTAATTAAATTAAAAATGTAATAAATGTCTGTGGAATAAATATTTGCTAATTCCTCAAAGCAACTAGATAGTAAAATGTAGTCAATGCTTGTAAAACAATTAGGATATCTTGAATTAAAAGTATATAAACATGGCATTGCAATTAATGTTACCTAATTTTTCTAAAAGATTTAGTTGGTGAAAAATTAATTTTATCATATGACAAGCAAGATGCTAGAGAAAAAATCTTCCCACATTAACCTGCGAATGAACCTCGGCTATACATAAAAGTGCTGTGGGAAAGCATATGCAGGGTGGGGTGGTTAGTGGATTAACTGTTCTTAGGCCATTACCAGAGAAAATGTGATACACCTAGACTAACAAACAATAAAACAGAAGACGTCTCAGGCTCATCCTTGGAAAGTGTACGAGTCCTAACAGTATAAATCACCAAACAAAGTGAAAATACAAAACAATAACGCCATCTGTCTCTCTGCCTACTGGAAAATAATGTGGTGCTCTTCTGAAATCAATCTAAATGCTCTACAGTCTAAAGAATTCATGGTACTGTATAAATACATATAAAGAATTGTTTTCATTCGATTGTAATTTAGTAGAATACATGAAATAACTACTTACTCTTAGTAAGAGGATTTTGAACACCTGTAGATGTTGTAAACATACATCTGTTGGAGTCAACATTTCCTTGTTCGAGCTCTTCATCAGAGATTGAATGTTTAGTGGCTGAGAAAAAGATATAAAATTTACTGTAATCATATTTAAAGAAGAAAGCATCATTAGCTGAAACAAAATGAGTAGTCATGATGCAGTTCTATGGAGGACAGGCTGTTAATTAGGTACACAATGTTCACTGTCAGTCATTCCTTCCAAATTACATACATATAACTTTTTTTAAAAGAAATTGTGTAGAATTATGTCCATATACATGCAAGTTTACAGTGAATCAATAGTAAACAAAGCAGACTTAGTTTATTTTTAAAACGTGTCTTGGCTAAGTTGTGTAAAGTTTAATCATTAATAATTTTGTGTGCTGATTATAAGTTTAAATGGTAAGATTTGGAATATAGTGGTGAAATAAAACATAGTATTAAAATGAATTTCACCTGTTTCTTGTGCAATCTCACATGATAAAAATTTAAATATAAATTTACTATGGACTCCAAAGACTACATATTAGTATCTTCCTTTAGGATACAAAGTTTAAAACCGTATGGTAAATGCAACTTCATACTGATAGCCAATATTTAAATATGAACATTAACGAACTTCAGGTGGAACCATTATATTAATTACCAAATCTGCTCTCCGATTTTAATGTGGAACAGCCTTCCCATAACCATGCTTTTTGACGGTACTGAGCACGGTTGCTCCGTTGCAAGGTAAGTAAAACTGCAGCTTTGTATCTTTCCTGTTCAAAATAAACACCAACAATTTTTTTTTACATATTCATTATATTGGTTAATGTAATTCTTATCTGTGGTTTATAAAACAACCCCACCACAAATTTTTCCTTTTTTGTATTAGGTAAAAGTTTATAAACAGTTAGAGACATGTTTCAGGTATCAATTAATAGCAGTGCTTCTCTTGAACAACTAGTTTTTAATCTTACGGGCCCTGCATCCAGGAACTGATCATACTTCCCTCTTTGCTTATAACATTAGGAAATTTGGTAGCCTATTTCTAGCAACTGTACAAAAACCAAGTGGTATACTTTTGTGTACACTTATCACACCTTATGCTTTATTATTTTCCTACCTTAATTTTCCCCTCTCCTTGATCCCTCAACCATTTATCATCCGGTGTGGTATGTATGTGTTAAGCCACCTTAAATTCTTTGTAGACAAAAAAGACCAGACTTACTGGCCTGACAGAGATTGGAGAAACCCTGAGAGTATGGCCCCTGGACACCCTTTTAGCTCGGTAATGAAGTTACTCCTGAAGTTCACCCTTCAGCCAAAGATTAGACAGGCCCATAAAACAAAACGAGAATAAATGGGCACACCAGCCCAGGGGCAAGGACTAGAAGGCAGGAGGGGACAGGAAAGCTGGTAA